TTGAAAATCAGTTGATCATTGTAACAGCTATCTATAAGATTTCACAATTTCATCTTATGTTACAGCGAAATATAAATATGTGAGTCATAAAAAAACTAACCCAGGTGAAAGAGCTACAAGTTGAAACTCTCTGATACTAAATTGTTGTTAACTGGGATACCAGTTTTTAACGTAATAAAGAAATGTGATATTGATTTATCGTAATTCCTCTCATGTCATATTGTGTTTCATTGTATTGGCATCCGTGTTTACTTCTATGGATTTAAGTACTGCGATGTTACATCACTCTATCACTGAAACAATAAGTATCGTGAAGACCATATTAGACAACCAGTTATAATTACATCTGTTGTTTATGATTTAAGTTTGGATTTGTAAAATGCAAAGCAAACTACCAAGGAAACTACCATCCAGTTCCTCCAGTCGCGGAAAATTTTCCTCTAAGTACAACCTAGGTAGAAGAAAGATCACCACCCCATGTCAGCATTCAAATTAAGAACGAGCGTTTATTGGTAACAGAAGAAGTTTAGAAATATCTTGAGTGTAGATACCAAATAAACAAAATTTACAAAATGCATCATATCCTCCTAAATCTTCTAACTTTTTCACAGGATATAAAGATACATTTTTAAAGTGCAGGAAGTTTCAGAATGGCCTTTGCAATACAACACTGCGTTCAGTTGTATGCTGAACGAAAAGGTGTTCATCGAAGTCATGATCATATCCATAATAACTCTGGAAGAAGATATGTTTTAAAGTATATATATATAGATCATTTGTTATGCTGTGAACGCCTTTTCACATGGATATATCGAACATAGTGTTGTTGGAATACTACTATTATGCACTCTTCTAATTCTTAAAAAAATCTAATGGATGAAATAAGAAATGTAATATTAAAGATACAATAACCCTGATACTAATGTCTTATGACAAGTATAAGTAATTACATTTATGTTGCGCCAGCTTAGAAAAGGAGTTCGCACCATAACAATGCAGTCTAATCTTTATGTGTGAGAACGTATGCAAAGTATATTTGTTAGTTATACTTATCCAAGTTGATTTTTAGTTTTCAGTAAAATAGGTAGCTTGCTTTAATCTATATAACACAATGATTATAAATACATCATTTATAAATTGAATTAACAGTTAAAAATGAAATATGTAAACAGAAAGATGTAGCTTAGTCTTACAGATAAATCACATTCATAAACAGATTGGTGGATACTTAGAATATCAGGTTTTTCTGAGTCTTATTTATCAACTTTTTGATCCTACTTGTTTTTAACTTTGATGAATTTAGAAATACTGATTATATTTTTGGTTTGAGTCACAGGCTTTTTGAGAAAGTAGAATTTCAAGTTATGAAAAAAATACAAATAATCATATAGTAATAATAATATATAATAAATTTCACTCTCTAACACACAATTCCCCGAAATATATTTTCCTAAGATTATTAAGATTACTTTCAATACAATTATATTATAACAGCAGCTTGACTTAATTAGTACTTTAAATATTAATTTTGTAATATGCAAGCATACCATATGTTTTCCACCTGCTATTACTAACATAGCATGTTTTAAAATGTTCCCTCTAGTCTCATTCTTTGAAGGTTTTGCTTTATAACTTGATTTAGAAAACCTTTAAGTTGTTTGTTTGTGATTAAGCACAAAGCTACACAGAGCGTTATTGGAGCTCTGCCCACCACGGGTGTCGAAACCCGGTGTTTAGTGTTATAAGTCTGCAGACATACCGCGCAGCCATTGGTTGGGGGAAGTTAAAGTGATTTCTTTCTTTGTTGTTTTCTAGCAGATAGTATCTATTTTGCTCAGGGGAATATTGCTACAACGTCCCACATTGTGTATAAATAGGTCGACCATTGACAACAATGTATTGTTACGACAGCGGAAGTCACGTGACTCTGGTAACACGTAATGAGTATCTAGAAGGTTCCAGAAGGCTCGAGACGCCCTCTATTTTGAATATATAAGACTGGCAAATAAAGCGGGGGAGATAATTGAATAGCAGACAGGGAGATAGAGACAGATAATCAAGTTGTAAGTAAAGTGTGTAAATCGTTGTGAATTTTAGCATGTGTTTAAGTTAAGTGACTGTGGAAATTAAGTGTATTGCAAAGTTATATTGAGAAAGAATAAACTAGTTTTATTGAAGAAATGACTTGTATCGCTAAAGTTTCAACCAAAAGAAATTATATGGGAAATTAAGAAACGACCAGAAACGTAACAGTACTTTGCCTGCTGAGTGGATGATAACCAGAGGTTAAAGCCTTATTTTTATGTTGCTTAAGGATGATTGAACCTACCAGTTCAGTATGGAGCGTCAATTTTAGACTGATTTCAAAAAGTATTTATTGGTTATGGAGGTAAATAGTTCAAAGGCAAAACATCTGGAGGGAGGAAAACTGTTTATCAATATATATAGGTCCAATAAGAAGACTATTATTCATTGCCTTCCAAAAGTACACACACTGTTTTTATTTTTGCTTATTTTTTACTTTGCAATTTAATAAAGTATTTTATCTACCTTCCATCATGTGTCCAGTCTGTTTATTTTCAAAGTGTAAACCTTAGCAGTTTAGTTAGTTTTAAATCTACTATGTGAATATCCTGCATCAATCTTCTGTTATAAAGCGGAGCTATCTAATACTTGTGAGGAAAACAATTAATATGAAAACACCACAACATTTTTAAAATTTAGATTCAAAAGTCTACTGGAGGCTGAAAAGTAAGTTTCAGGAGCTTTTACACTAAAAATCTTGGGTTTATTAACCGAATGTGTACTTTGTACTGAAAACAAAACAAAAACGCGTATTCATCCTAATGATACATTAGAAAATTTTATACTTAAAATTTCTTCGTCTATCAGTTTATTACATGAAACAGAAAAAGCACAACAATGAAAATAACATGTTACACCTATTGTCCAAACCTACAATATTGTAAATATTATCAAATTCACAAAAAATACCACAATATGTATACATATATTATAAAACTCGTGACAAGAAACAATATAACATAACGTTTTGGGACAACATGGTACCTATTGGTTCATCTCGGCTGTTCCATCCTCTAAAATAAATTAAAATAATTTTTAAGAAATTATAATGCCAGCCTTAATATTCATATTTTTATCAAGCTTTTTCTTAAGCTCACTTAAATTTACTACCTCTACAACATCCGAAGGTAGCCTATTCCAAAGGCCAACCACCCTGTTAGAAAAATTAAACTGTCTTAGCCGGGGATGACTCCTACCTTGCCAAAATATATATCTCTGTCTCCTAGTCCTACTGTTATTAAATATGAAAAAAGATGATGCATCAACACTATCGATTCCCTTTACAATCTTAAACACATCAATCAGGTCCCCCTAACTCTTCTTTTTTCAAGATAAAACAATTTGAGAGATTTCAGCCTCTCCTCGTATGACAACCCCTCCACCCCAGGCACCTTTCTAGAACCCTTTCCAAAAATTCAAATGCTTTCTTAAGGCAAGGAGCCAAAGAATGAGCACAACATTCCAAATGTGGGTAACCAGTGACCTAAACAATGAAATTATAATCTGTTTAGAGTTGTATTTAATATTTCTGAAAATATAACCTAAAATCTTACCACTAACAACAGCACATTGCTTGGATAGCTTTAGAAACTGATCGACTGTTACACCAAGATCCCTTTCCTTCATAACATTGTTAAGGTTATTCCCATCCAAGTTATGCTTATAATTCAATTTATGGTAATCCACATGCATTATCATGCATTTATTATTATTAAAACCCATCTACCATTTATTTGCCTAACTCACTAAATGATCTAAATCGTTTTGTGAATCATAAACATCCACTTCACAGCTAGACCAAAATATAATCTGCAAATTTTATTATTTTATTGACTATTCCTTCATCTATGTCGTTGGTGTAAATCAAAAAAAGCAAAGGTCCTATGACTGAGCCTTGAGATACCCCACTTGTGACATTAATCCAGTTTGACTGAACTCTATTTATGACAACCCTCTGCTTTTTTACATCCAGCCACTCTTCTGTCCAATTTGCTAACTTATCCTCCACACCTAGAGAGATAAATTTTTACAAGCCTTTTATGTGGCACCCTGTGAAATGCTCGCTGAAAACCCTGATACACCAAATCTACACCCTTACCCTCATCTACATAAGCAGTAACCTCTTCAAAGAATGTCAAAAGATTTGTAAAGCAAGATTTCCCCTTCGTGAAACCATATTGAGTATCCAATAAAATTCTAAACTTTGTTAAATGACTTTCCAAAGCATCTTTTAACAGACTTTCCAAAACTTTTACCACAACAGATATAAGATTAATGGGTATATAATTACTGGGACAATTTTTATCACTTCCCTTGAAAAGAGGAGTTACATCAGTTAACTTCCAATTCTCTGGTACCTGACCACTATTCAAGGACTGACAAAAAATAGTAGTAAGTGGCTCACATATCCAATATTTAACCTCCTTCAAAACCCTTGTGGAAATATTATCTGGCCCAGGAGCCTTATCGTTTTTTAATCTTCTCAATCATTTCTATATTTGAAGTTAACAATAAATCTAAAATAGCATTGTTTCTAGTAGGTTCCTTGACTAATTGGTGAAAAAGCCATCCCGAACATTTTCCAAAAACCTTCCTCCCGTACCATTATATAACACTGATAAAATTATAGTAACATTTTTATCAGGAGCAGATTATATTACATAAATAAAATTAAAGTACTTTATTTATAATAATGTTCGTGAAATTAATGTGTCATTGCCTATTTCTTATGTAATACTGAACGTAGAAGTAACGAGGGTAATCCCCAGATTAAAACAAACAAAAAAAAACAGTTTTAAAATTTAATTGGGTTTTAAAGTCCTTTTCAATCACCAATAACGTAACCTAAAATAATTTATATATTCGAATAATGTCACGTGAAGATGACCCAGGCATGCGCAATAGTAATGTTTTCTGTAACACAAAAGCAAAATTGTTAGGCTTAGTTTCTACGTACAATAGTATAGTGTTGGAAAGAAAACTGACGGAAATAGCCTAATAGTAATAAGTTTTTGAACTAATTATAGATTAAATAGTGTTACATTTTCACACCTATTTACACCGTATTTTGTTTCTCTTGTAATCATGCACCATATTTGAAGAAACTGAACTTCTGAAAGTCTGAAGTGCGATTTAGTTAGGCTTATTAATTATTGCACTCATTCGATTGACAATTGACTTGTGAAGTTTGAATTGTTTTGTTAAGTAATATTTATATGTTAGTGTTACTTAAACGTAGTTTTCAAAAATGACAGATGATGTTAATAAAGCTTCAGAAAATCAAAACTCGTCAGAAAATTTTCACTGTGGAGTAGTTGAAGGTAAAAATTAGTGATTTTTTTAAATTAAAATCTCAAAATGCTTAGAACATCGTGGTGAATAGTATTACTATTAGTTTTAATTTTATTGTTTTGTACGTGTTGCTCTTAGTGTTATTAGAGTAAAATAATTATTTTTATCTGTGATTACAGAAGAGTTAATTTAAAAATTAAGTGTACACGTGGTACATTAAAGAAAATACTGAGTGCTATTCATTTGACCCATTGGGCCACTAATCTGTTGACATACTTTCATTTAATAATGGCTGGAGATGGCTTGAATGGGTAATGAAGAAAATCTTTAATATAAGTTTAACATAACAGCAAATGTACAACGTTTCAACAAGCATTGGCTATTATATTATTTCCCTGTCAATGTTCCCATCTTAATTAGAATCGTAAGATGACAAAAACAAGATCTTGAAGAATCTATCTATTTTTTACAAGAAATTTAATGGTGCTATTTATTTTGTATTTGGTGTAGTATTTAATGATGAAATTGGCAATTAATGATTATTGCACCATTTTTTTGTAATAAACATACCAAATATAAACACATTTTGTACACAGAAAGTGTTATGGTGGGAGACATTCAGATCACCTTGCTGTCAATTCAGTATTTACAAAAACAGTTTTCTTTAC